TGTCCTAAAGCGTGGTATAAATGACATTTAAAAACTGTGAATTAAGCTCAAAAATGTATTATGAAGGGAACAATTGTTGCATGTCCATACATACAATATCTGTGCTCTTAGCAATCAAAAGAGAAAGGGCAGAATATTTTATGTCCACTACATGCAATAATTGGGCACAAAATAATATGTCACTATCAATAAGTAAGTCAGCTGCAACATTAGCAGCTTGTGGGGTGTGCGTTTTTGAAGTTATAGTTGTTAAAGTTTTCTTTTTCGGTGTCAAGTGAATTTATTGTTTATGTTTTATCTACAACGCTAATGGAAAAACGACCTAGGAGTTATAAACTGTTGCAGTTAGCCCTGAGTAACGAATGTTTTCGTGAAAATGAACCACCCAGTGAGTTAACCACGATACAACTCCATCAAAATTGTAAGTAACTATTTTTTTTAAATTTACTCACGCAATTATAATTCAATCAAACTTCTTATCGCAGCAGTTGTCAGTGTAATGTTAAATTAGAGATGAGTTACTCCTTGTTAATTTATAGATATTAGTTAATATAATATGAAAACGTCAGGAAAGAACATACACACTCACCTTTTTTGTAAAATATTAAGTTCTAAACTATAAAAACTGTATACCTACTTCAAATTTATGTTAAGTGAACATTGCACGTCCTTTTCATGAAGTCTTTATAGTATGTTTGATAATCATTATCGTTTGTAATAATGTATGTATAAGACAGGTAACAGGGAGGATAACAGGGAGGCGTATGTCCAGCAATGAACACAGTGTTAAAAATCAACGAAAACTTATAAATTAATATCTAATATTCGTTTTCTAAATACATTTTTTTATTGTTTCAGCTGACGAACCCAATCCTGAGCTTGGTACTTGGATTGAAGAAAATATAAATGTGGAAAATGCTGTCTACCAGACTTTAAATCCAGTAATGTACAGTAATGAAGACATCATCACATCTGCTAGACTAGGTGAGAGTATTTGTACTACAGAATCAAAAAACGATGTGATTCCAACTACCTCATTGCATAATTTACATTCTCCTGCCAAAGCAAGTGCAAGTCCATGACTCCTTCAAACTGACCAGGGGGGTTATAGAAGACTCAATACAACATAGTGATTTTTCTGATTCTGGCGAATCATAACCAAATTTTTCAGAGCTTGTCTAGTGATGAAAATAGTAATATAGTAGAAGTTGTTAAAGAGAATTTTAATCCAGAATTGTCTAACAATACAGTGGCACCTCATGAAAACTGTGGAAGTATTTTGCAATTCCATCCAGCTCATCTACCGATCGTCAACATTCTCCAACTGAAATGTGAAAAAGGAAAAACTTGTGTCAGGTAAGACGTATGTAAATCGCTCTGGAAAAATATTGCTTGAAAAAAAGTTGAAGATGTTGACTGCTCTAAATGCCGCTTTAAATTCTACAAAAAAATATGTCAAATGCAAAGAGAAAAGACATTCAAAGATTATTGGCAGCTGAAAGATCCATGTAGACGAAAATCATTCATTTGTGCAGTTGTAAAAAAGAATTTAATCTTACGAGCACATCCATGTCAAGAAAACTCTGAAGGATGTAAAAAGTATTCAAAGTATTATTACTTACCGGACAAAATAACGAAAATCAAAGAGTATGTCTTAAGTTTTTCTGTAAGACTTTGAACATAAGTTTTCAAGTTATAGATCTGGCACTGGCTGGACATGGCGATTCAGGAATGTATGTATGTACAAATAAAAGAAAAGCCCGTAAGGCTCCTAATACTACAGATTCAAATATAATTGCTAAAGCTAAGGAACACATCGATTACTTTCCTCGTATGGAAAGTCACTATTGGAGAAAAGACTCAAAAAGCTTTACTTATCGTGCGATTTAAATTTCTCCATTTGTACAAACTCTATGAAAAATGTTGCCAGGGGAATAATATACCCAAGTGTTCTATACATGTATACAGATCTCTTTTCAATAGCTACGAACCTTCATTGAGTTTTTTTTTAAGCAAAAAAAGATCAGTGTTCTCTCTGAAATAGTTATAAAAATGCTTCAATCAAGTTCGCTTTGAAAATGACTACCAAGCTCATAAAAAGAGAGTAACTGATTCTCTTTTTTCTGCAAATTCTTTTCACTTCCCTTCTTCTTGCCCCATAGTTTTCGATCACATTTTGGGTATATGAAATTTACAAAATACTTCTAAAGTCACAGTTTTGGCAAGTACAGTTATTTAAATATTCACTCTCCATGATAAAAAAGTTAAATAACTTATAAATTATTTTGTAGATCTAGTTGAAATTGTTGTTCTGAAGCTATTTTCTTGTGGCATTTTAAATTAATTACTATGTAACTGGGAATAAGCCACAATTAAAGGTAAAAATACGTTTATTGGTGTTTCAATTTCAACTTCGGAAATTGAAGATTTTGAGAATTTTGAGAACGATTTCCGAAGTGGAAATTGAAACATCAATTAACATATCTTTACCTTTAATTGTGGCTTATTCCCAGTTAAATAGTAATTAATTTAAAATGCCACAAGAAAATAGCTTCAGAACAACAATTTCAACTAGATCTACAAAATAAGTTATTTAATATATTTATCATGGAGAGTGATTATTTAAATAACTGCTTTAATTTAATCAATTCTTACTGCTTCAGTTTTAAGGTAATAAAAAAACTTCAATTTTATAAAATTTGTTATTAAAAAATAGACTTTTTGGCTTATAAACATTTATAATAACTTTTGACATTTTTATGTCACACGCTTGTAAGTAGGCTCACCAAAAAGCTAGTAAAAACTACTTTAAAAACAAACAGAACTTTCTATAACCAATAAGAACCAAGATAGTATTTTTGTTCTTAAAATCATATTTCCATTACCTATTAAGAGCTTAAAATTGAATGGATTTTAAATGAATATATAAATTTTATGATCCAACTTATAGATGGCGTATAGAGTGAAGAAGTAAAAGGTTATACCCCATTAAAGTGATGGTACTTCTAAAATACTGCCACAGAAAACTAGAGAGGATAACAGTCCAAGCTCCATTTTTTCTAATGGAACTTCAAATTTGACACGCTCCTCTGGCAAAATTTGCCATATATCAGCTTCTATGGCATATAGAACCTTTATTTTTTTTAACTGGGGAAGCTCAACAAAATAATAAGAATTGTGCTATTTTGAACTATAAAAATAAATTTTGTTGATAAGTGTAGGTATACTATTTATAAAAATGTAGCTTTGTAGTAATGAAGCTTTTAATATTTTTGTGCAATTTAACTGTCTGTGTGTAATTTTACAAAACTAAACTAAACTTTAAACTTCAGTTTGTACATGCAGTTTAAAAGAAATAAAGGTTCCATGTGCATAGTAAGACAGATATAGCAGCAGACAATTCTACCCTCCACTTTTCCATGGCAGTTTTTTATGAGTACCATCACTTTAATGTGTTATAATTTTTACTCATTCACTGTTGTATATGCCATCTATAAGTTGGATCATAAAATTTAGATCTTCATTCAAAATTCATTAAATTTTCAGCTCTTTCTTAATGTTAATAAACAATGGAAAAGATGCTATCTTGTTTCCCATTGGTCATAGAAGGTTCTGTTTTTTTTTAAGTATGTTTTTTCACCATATTTTTATTGAGCTTACTTACAAGTTTGTGGCATAAAAAATGTTGAAGATATAAATGTTTATAAGCTCAAAAGTTAACTCTTTTTCAAAATGTTTTTTTAATAATAAATTTAATAAAAAGTTAATACTTATATCTTAAAAATTAAGCCTCAAATAATCAATTGTCATTTACAAAATACCTCTAGAATCACTATTTGGGCAAGTACAGTTGTTTAAATAATCGCTCTCTGACATAAACAAATTGAATAGCTTAAGTGTTTGGTCAATCTGGTTGAAATTTAGGACAGTTTAATTTTAATAACTCATTAGATGCCACAATTTTTGAGTAGATATATTAAGTACATGTCATTATGCAAAAACAAAGTTATTAATATCTAAATGACTGCAATAATAAGAGTTTTTAGAATAATCTAGTCAATTGTATATGTGTTTTAATTTGGAAACTTCAGAATTAAAGAACTTATTATGTTCTGCAATTTTTATTTGAAACATTGTTCAATAAAGAAAAACAAAGCAAAATTAGCTGTACCTATGTCTTCACAGAATTGTCATCAACTACCCTTTATATGCCTCTTAGAATCTTTAAATGACTGTATAAGATTTTTCAGCTTTTTTTCTTTCTTGACAGGGGTATCAACAGTCTTTAATCTTTACTAATAGTGGACAGTAGTAGCTTCTTTGAGCACTTTTGAAACCTAGATGTGCAGTTTTCCATCTTTAACTATACAATATTTTATATATAACTAGAATCTTACATATTTTGGCAAATATATTATAAAAAATTATTTTTGTAGACATACTTAGTTATAGTCTATAAATATTAATTACTCCCTTTATAACCCAGGTTTTTTTGTTTCCATTTATTATTTCAGATACTAATAAATGTTAACTTTGATAATACTTGAAGTATATTGATTGTGATTGTTGAATTAAAATGCTTATCTAAACCCTGGTACTGATATCTGGCTTTTATTAAAAGTATATCATTAATTTTGCAAAATATGGAATAGTTTAAAGAACATTATATTTCCTATTGAGTAATATTAGATATAGCAAATCAATAAAACAATATAAACATAAAATAACTTGTATACTTTAAACTTTAGCCTGCAGTTATTAATAATGTGAGAATGTGTTGATACCTCTCTTTTTTCATTCAACAAGAATCTATTTTTAGGACATTTATTAAATGAATGAACTGGCTACAAAATAATTATTTTAACAATCTTTTCCTTTAGAGCCGAACTGTTACAATAGTGTGGAAGAAATTTTATTATATAATGACCAAACACAATTAAATGCATGCTTTAGTAATGTATACAAAAGTGATGTTTAAATAAATAAAAAAATTAACTTACCTCAAGGAATTTTGGTTATCCATGTTGTAGATTTTTAATGTTTTCTTAAGTTCATACCTTAATAATTACGTCACCAATGAATTAATAAAATTTTCAGTAAATAATGCACATCCTTGTTTTTGACATAGTCTTTTAAAATAATCGATAATACCGCTGCAGTTTTTTTTATTTTACAAATGCTTAAACTGCACTGAAAATATACCAAGACAAGTAAAGGAAAAAGTTTAATAATGTTACATTTAACTTGAGATATATCCTTGAAAAATAACAATTAGAAATATCGCAATGTTATGATTATTCAATTTTTAAAATAAAGTAATAATATAGTGCTGTATTTAATTCCTATAATGTGTTTCATATATCGATAATGTTAATAATGTATATTAAATTTACAACTTAGTTCACACTCAAGCACTTCTGATCAGACCACTTATACTATCGAAATCAAAACCTATCACAAAAGTTGAAAACAACAGCAGCACAATATGAGCTTAGATTATAATCTGTCGGCATAGATAAAAACAATATAGATATTTATCTCATATTTTGAAATTTATTTTAGTTTCTTCGAATACACAGATGCGCTACAGTACCTACATATTTTTGGCAACTTCACGTCAACGTCAACATTAAATTTGTCAACTTGTCAATTCTTGTGTGATTATTTACTATTTACAGCGTGGTGGTGTTTATCTTTTGAGGATCTTTTATGTATTTTTATTTAACTCGGTGTGGCATATAGTTCTTAATTTATTAGTCTATTAAAGTGTTTAAGTTTTATAGTGTTAGGTTAAGTTTTAATCTTTAATCTGTATTTGTTACTATTGTAATTGTAGATTTTTTTAACAAGTTAATTTTTTTTGATTAATATGTTTGTTTTGTTATTCACTTCAGATAGATATATTCAATATAGATAATAATAATTTTTACAAAACTTATGTGTGGTATGGTGCAAATATCGTTCAATTTGTTAATTATCAGTTTTATTTATCATATTTCACACTGAGTGCACATTTATGTGCACTCTGTATTTATAACTGAATAAGAAAACTATAAGAGGCAATAGAGCGGCACGTTGTATTTAGTTTCTTCGAATTTGTAGATGTCGCCTTTTAGCTTCTAAATGTCATTATTGAGTTCGCATCTATTGGTTTTGGTCTATGTCTGTCGGTATGGACTATGATATTACAAATGTCAACGTCAATGTCTTTGTTGTCATGTCATCAACGTCAACGCACATTTGTTGATATACCCGGTTCGCTAATCCCAGTCCGAACTGTCTAGTGATTTTAGTAATTATGTTTTACGAAGTTAGTTACTTTTTGACAGACTAGAAATGGCTGGAAATTACTATTCGCTGTGAGCCGATGAGTAGAGGGGATTTGACAGTTTTCACCAACGCTGTTAGTGGCAGTTTTGTGCATTTAAATTGTAAACATTCAAATAATGGCGAATATGGATTTTTCAAAAAGAAAAATATATGATACATGTAAAAATACTGGGTACAACAGTCATTGTAAATTGTATTCATTTCCTGTTGCCAAGCATAAAATAGTTCAAAGAGAAAAATGGATTATTGCTATCAATGAAAAAATAAGTAAATAACCTATAATGCAAACATAATATTTGTGTGGTGTAAAATTAAAAAGCTATTATATTCCGAAACATTGCGTACATGTCCTGCATCAACTAAACCTTTTCCCTTTTTTGGTGTAGCTGGTTGAAATGGGATATCATGTGATATAGACTTAAAACCAGTATAATGTTTAATATCCATTTTGATAAAATTAAAACAAATTTAATAGGTAGAGGCCATAAAACGAAAGAAGAAGAAGAAGAAGAATTAAAACAAATTGATATCTAAGCCCTAAGGCCTACGCACACAAAAAATAACTGAGCAAAAACAGAATAAAAATGTAAAATAAAAACATAAAGGTAACCTTTAACTAAAGAATATAGACGTTTTCAGCGTCTATAACCTTAAATATTTGCTTTAACCATTAAATATTTTCATATAAACTTCTTCTTTTTCTCAATGACCTCTTACGTAAGTAGTCATCCAGTCGCAAGAACTTATATCTTAAATAATATAATTATAATGAATAAAATAACAAGGCGTAATTACTTTTACTATTAATTCTGTGTATTCGTTCATTAATCAGTTTACCATAATATTTCAGTTCATTATTTTGTATTTTTAAATAAATATCTATTTTTCTCGTTTTGTCATATTTCATTTACACTAATTTTACAAGAAAAGTACAAGTTTCAAACCGCGAGAGAGCGCTACCGGCGAAACTCACAGCGAATACGACCAAGCACACGTGCTCATAGCGCATTTCATTAAAGTATTTCGTCGACCTCTTTTGCAAACTTATATGACTTATGCCTGGTTGCACCAATAGATCTTAAGCTCCAGCTTAGCCAAGCTCTGCTTATAGCTAGGGCTGCCTTAACCTTCACTTACGTTGCACCATAATTTTCGATTCTAAAATATTCTTTATATTCTTAAAAATAAAAATACAAAATTTGGTTGATCGCCGTCGGACGGTTTGATCGTGGTCGGTCGATCAGCCTGAGCTGAGGCCTACCTAAGGCACGTCTTAAGCTTAAGATATGTTGGTGCAACCAGGCATTAGAAATTTATAGCACGTATAAAGATAGTAAGTTTCTATTATATGTAAAAAATATATTTTATAAAAAAGTTACCGTAATTTAGTTTATATCGTTAGGTTACGCCAAATATAGGCAACCAACTTAAACTTTTTGTTAGCATTTATGCTGAAGTTTCTTGAGAATATATTTAATTTTATTATTTTTTAAAGTGATGATAATAAGGTTGAATAAGCCATATTTCAAATGATATATAATCACAAGACGTACATAATATTGTGTTATATAATATAATCCTCATAAAGTACGTTAGATAAAAAAATATATATTCATATTACATATAATTAAAAAATATTATGCATCAAAAAGATAATACAATATCAACAAAAATATAATTCAAAATTATTATAATATTCTATTATTACTATCATAAACCAGTTTTTTTTTCTAATTTTAGCTAATTTCTATTAGAAACGTACTTTATGAAGATTATATAAAATAATATTAAGTACTTTTGTGATTAAATATCATTTAAAATATTACTTATTCAGCATTATTATCATGACTTTTAAAAAATAATAAATTAACTGGAAAATATTAAACATTTATTAAAAATATTTTCAAGAAACTCCAGCTAAATGCCAAAAAAGTTTAAGTTGGTTGCCTACATTTGGAGCAACTTAACGGTATAAACTAAATTACTGTAACTTTTTTATAAAATATATTTTTTATATATAATATACATTTTATATATAATAGATACTTTATACATGCTATATATACGTGGATGCATCGAGCAAAAAGACAAAAGAGGGAATCTAATCGTTATGAAAAGGAGACCAAAAAAGTGGCCTCTGATGGCGGACATATCCGGAAATGCGAATGCGCCAAATTTAAATTTTTCGACTCTTATTAACAGTAGCTATATAATATTTTTCAAAATGTGTCTTAGACGAGAAAGTTTTAATTAATTATTAACGATAATAGTCTAAAATGCGACACAATTGTTAAAAACTTCAATATAAATAATATTTCATGTGACATTTATGACAAACAATACCATAACCCAACTAAATTTGATGTCAAACTTTCTACAATATGCAAAGCATCCTCAGGTCTCGATACAAAGTTAAACAAATGATGCCGGTACTCTATTAATTGATGGATGGTAGAACATGGTTGAAACTACTATGTATTGTTGAATGGAGAACTCAATTCTATTATTGCAGTTGTTTGACAGTAAACGGGAAGTTCTTGAGGAGATAGATTTGATCCAATGAAGAAGAGATATGTGTGTGATTAGATAAAGTATATCTCACCCTTTCAGCATTTTTGTGTTTTGTTCATGTTTATTTTTTTTTTTTAATAAAAAATTGCTGACATTATTTTTTGATGACAAGTCCGATTCTCCTTGAAGAGGGGCGGTTCGTTGAGAGTTAAATACGAACTACATTAAAGCCATCGAACAAAAAGTCTTTTCAAATTGTCTTTTTGCTGGATGATTAAAGCTAAAAGAACGCAATATTTAACAATCTATAAAATGTCAAAGGAAATTGCAGTATTTGACAGTGTTGAAATGTATATTACACAAAGAAAACATATGCAATAAAAAGAATATTTAAAAAATATTACTTAAGAATTACCAAAAAAGAAAAAGTAAATGCTTTTAAAAAGTAAACAAATGGTAAATGGTAAAATGCCACTAAAAAATAATAAATTTAAAAAGACATCTGCTGCAATCTGGCAATTGGTGATTTGAGGGTTCTCACTCTATTGTCTAATCTATCCACAACTCATAGCTCAGAATAAATAACAATCAGAATGCCCACTCTGCATGTTAAGATAAGTACGCGCATCTTATTATTCAGACTGAATCAGCCATGTTGTAAACGGAACCAGTGCTGATCAGTAAAATTTTATCTGGTGTGTATAGAAAAATTAACCGGTTTAATTTATTTACGCCAACCATAGACATAATATGCAATATTTTATGTCGTTCTTTTAGTTGAAGCACAGAATAATAAACAATCAGAATGCCCACTCTCAGAAGCGGCATCTGAGAGTGGGCATTCTGATTGTTATTTATTCTTTGCCTATAGATAAATAATATAGTATTTTTATATACGCTAACCCACAGAATAATTATCAAACAGAATGCCCACTCTGCTTTAAAAAATAAGTACGCGCATCTCGTTCGCGCAGACGGAATCAGCCATGTTTTAAATGGAACCAGTGCTGTTCAATGACATTTTATCAGGTGTTCATAGACAAATTAACCCGGTTTAATTTATTTATGGCAACTACAGACATAATATGCACTATTTTATTTGTACTTTTAGTTGAAGAATAGATTAAACTATTTCAAATGTACTAAATTATTAATCTTTAAAAATTTAAATTACAGTTCTGTCGTAGCTTGTCACAATTTTTTCAATTCGAGTCAATTTCCGTCTAAAACATGGCCTTCGCGTGCTGACAAATTTCAAAAGCGTCATCTGAGAGAGGGCATTCTGATTGTTTATTATTGATTATTCTGTGGCTAACCTATTAAAGGGCCAAAAATTTTTTTAATAATTAATTGCAATTAATATCAAATGAAACAAATACTAATTTATGAATGTTTTAAATAAATTATAAAATTGCAGAATCCAGAAAATAATATAATAAAAATATATATTTTAAAAGCTTTATCTCTTTATATTAATTTGAAGCATATATACATTATAAGGACAAGGCAACACTGCCAACGCAATATTTCGTTCTGTGAACTTAATTGATTGCTAAAGGTCGATTCAGACACATCAGTCCCGTCATAGTCTCGGCGCCGAACCGATCCTGTTTGGTCACAGAACTATCAACTATCTGACTGACAGCTGGTAAACTGCTCGTCGCCGGCGCCATCTTTTTTGTATTTGTGTGACGGATTACGCCTACGACGGATTGTTCGGTTCGGCGCCAGGACTGTGACGAGACGTGACTGATGTGTCTGATCACCATAGAGTATAGAGAAATAATGCTGATCACTGAGACCAATTATATTTTCTCATTTTCGGTATTTTCCACTATTTTCTATATTAATGTAGAATTGTAGAGTGTGGTTAAAGTTGTTATTTATACTGTGGTTAAAGTTTATTTGTTAACCATGGAATTTAAAATTGAAATTAAGGAAGAGTCTTTTGAATATGACCAAAGACAAATAGAGAGTCAGCTATCAACATCAATAGATCTTGGGCACTTGAAGAATGAACCAGAAAATAACTCAGGTACTTACCTAAGTTAAGTAAATTCACTAAACAATATGATTTAATTCATATTTTTTTATTAGCTGTGGTAGTAAAAACTGGCGTTAAGGAAGAGTTTGTAGAAGGTGACCTAAGCTATATAGAGAGTCAGTTAAATACATCAGGTGATCTGGAATACTTGAAGAATGAATCAGATGAATATTCAGGTAAGATAAATTTACTTTTCAATTCATGCAAGAGATTTTATTTGCCAGAGTCTGCTTTGTTTTTTTTTTCGGTTTCTGTTTCTGTTACAACACTTGTCACTAAACTTTTACATGTTTGGTAAATTGAGTCTTTATGACACTTTAGTTATAACCTAAACTTTCACACACAAGTTCACTACTAGTACAAGGATATAGAAACCTTCTAAATGAAATACTGAGGTGTAAATCAATGAATGTGTTAATTCATAATATTGGGATGCAGGTATAATGTAAAAAATACTCGTGAGTAGACACCTAATTTTAAGTTTCCATTAGTAATTTAAGTTAGAAACAAATTGATAATTGGTCTTACTGACCAGATTTTAATGTAAGTACACTTCAGTGTCTTTATTAAAAAAAATTCCAAGATTATACAATATATAACTGTTTACTACTGCAGCATTTAGGAGTAATATAATAGTTTCATCCACCATTTTCTGGATTTCCAAGAGAGCGTAGCAAGAAAGCGTCTGATTGAATCTGTCACTGCCCCACATAAACCCATTGTAATCACAAACTGCTTTTGGGCATTCAACTTACCACCATCTTCTGAGTCTATGGCTTGAGCATCAGTTATACCAGCAATCCATCTGTAGATTTGATTGGGATCTAGCTCTTGTAGCTTGTCAATCCTGAGTCTGGACATTATGAAACAGAAACTTTATTGACTATAAACAAAAAATTTAATGTTGCCTTTATTACCAATGCTTTATAATTATTATTTTGTTATAATAATTGCTATCATTATTAAACAGACAAAATAAATAATTGCCAGTTTTAAATCAACTAACATGTTGGTAGTATGAACTGGATATATCATGATATAACATCTTAGCTTTAAACTTTGTATACTAATTTAGGATTTTATTTCATACATATAATGTTTATTTAATGAAAATAAGCTTAAAGAATTTTCCTAACACTACTAATCGGAAAATTAAAACAGAACTAATAGCACTCGTAACCTAGAAAATTTGCTGTCCAACAATATTTTATTGTGTTTAACACTAATAAGTCGGAAGCATTTAATTGGAAGAGAGGTATTAAACAAGGAGATAGTCTCAGCCCTTTGCTATTCATAATAGTAATGAACGAATTGTTAAGAAACACTAGAATCAGAACCAATCAACTACAGACAATAATAGGTTACCACAGATTACAACCGGTAACAATAGAGTCCTTAATGTATGCAGACGACATAGTACTAATAGCAGATTCCGAGAATAAAATGCAGAAACTAATGGATATATGGGTAGAACAAATAGAAGAACTAAAAATGGAGATAAACGAGAAAAAAAGTAAGATAATGATAATCAGCGGCAATGGAGATCAGGAAGATAATCAAATAAAGATAAAATGTAAAAACTCAGAATTGGAAATAGTATCAACTTACGAATACCTGGGAAGTATAATAACTAATGATGGAAAAATAGACTGGGAAATAACAAATAGAGCAAAGAAATCAAACAAGTTATACTATGCGTTAGCCCCAATAATGGGAAAAAGAGAACTTACACGAGAAACAAGAATAAAAATATATAACACAATAGTGATACCGACTGTGCTCTATGCAAGTGAAAACTGGACAATTCTGGAAAAACATAAGAGCAGGATAAACGCAATGGAGATGAGACATCTAAGAAGGATAGTTGGAAAGACAAAATGGGATAGATTAAGCAACGAGACTATTAGGAGAATGGCCAACCAGGAACCGATAATGAACAAAATAGCAAAGAGATAAATGAACTGGTATGGGCATCTGACGAGGATGCAATCCAATAGAATAACAAAAAAAGTTTATGAAGCAAAAAATATCGGAAAAAGAAAAAGAGGCAGACCAAGAAAAAAATGGATACAGCAAGTAGTAGAGGCGGGAAAATTTAAACAAAAATCACTCGAGGAATTGAAAATAATGGCAGGAAACAGAAAAGAATGGAAGAGGTGGGTAAATGGAAATTAAAATAGCTAGACCAAAATCCGACACCCTGGTAGGGTAAAAAGGGGAGAAGGAAAGAAAGAACACTAATAAGCTGCATTCCGTTTGCTTTACATAATGTGACAATGTTATCTATAAACAAATATGATATAAAATAATAAAACTAAATAACGGTTTTTTCATAAAAATCGGGCAATTGAAACAACGAAACAGAACACATGTAAAACAGCTAGTACACTAAAGGCGCACAGGTTGAATTATAAACCACTTGTGAACGTAGTATGCGCGTGTTTGCATTTACTGACACTGACTTATCGAAAGATCGTTCCTTAGACAGAATCGTGATAACTGGCTTATTCACAAACCTGTGCGACATTAAGACGTCAGTGATTCATAACTGGTTGATATATCGACCAGAAATCGTTAAAGGGTTAAAGTCAAAAAGAAAAAAATTGTTGAAACATAAAAATATATTAGCTGACATGAAACTTAAAACACAGACAAACAAATTCAACCCAATAAACATGGTAGTTAGGAAAATTAGGGGAACTTAATGCACATAAGTTAACTTATCTAAAACCCAACAACCCTTAACAACTAGGATTGAATTTTCAGCTATGAGGAAGCTCTTTATAAACAAGACTTTGGTTATCTCCATTATTAGCATACCTATGTATTTATATTGTATATTATATATATATATATATATATATATATATATATATATATATATATATATATTGATAAAGTTGTATTTTATTAATTTTATTTTTTATTTATAATAAATGTAATTTTTAAAATATGTGGTTCGTTGTTTAATTTAATATATACCTCAGCTAGCTCAATTATATGTTCTAAGCAATCTGTCACTGTGTGACGTCGACTCTGTAGTCTCCTGGTAGAGTTCAAAAAGAAATTAAACCAAAATTTACTTAAGACCTTTGATAAATTAACCCAAATGAAGCACGTTATTTATTAATATTGAACAAATTTAATATAAACAATAAAATTCGTCTGCAACTTGGGTTGCCTTTAAAAATTTACAAAAATAGGAATCGTTTAAATCTTAACGTGGTTTAGTGACGTGACAATAAAAATGTATTACAAAATGTGGAGACTCTCTACAAGTACCTAAAAACTAAATAAATATTGCAACTTTATAAAGTGTTTAAATGAACTATAAAGAAAAAGAAAATGAACACTTTACTCCGCTGACTTGCACTCAAATATAATCAAAATTTCAAATGATCCCCAAAATTATTGTCCAACCTCACTTTAAAACAGTTCTGATTTCTTTAAAGGAAACTACTCAAAAATAATCGGTGAAAAATGGAATATCAATCCTCTCTTCGGAAGTTAAGGTACGTACTATTCTATTTTTAATTTAATGATCATTAATATTTTCAATTTTTAAGGCCTATCGCAATTATGTTAATTCATGAATTTTAATTTTCTCAATTTAAATGACATTTCTATACTTCAATAATAATTTATAAGTCAAATGGTTTCTCTTACTCACTGAAACAAATTCTGAGTATCTCTGCTGTGGAAAAACTATATTTTGATTAAACGATTTGAAATCACTCTCGGACTATCCACAGTTTTCAGGGCTCCTCTCCAAAAATTATCGTCGGCGTCTCCTCCAAAAAAAACCAATTCCCCTTATTATCCGTTGCTAACAGCAACCAACGTTCTTTTTTTTCTGTCTTCTATTTAAATATTTTAACCCATAAAACTGTCCTGTTTGACATATTTGTCAAGCCACATTACTTTCTCATAATCACTTTAATCACATCTAATTTGGGAATTTATAAAAAAAAATGTTTAGATATAAAACTTATTCTATTACAATACTAATTTATTCTTTTCATCTCCACATCATTGTAATTTCTTATTTAACAAAACCCCTATTAATTTAGCTCCCACAGACTGTCAAATAAACTGTCAAGCAGTTTATTTTCTGACGTTTATTAAAATTTCTATGTTTAAATATTTTTTTAAAATTCTTCTTTTTTGTTCTTTTTAAGGTTTAGACGATTCACCTATACACTAGGCAACTATACTATTCAGAAATTATTAACACTATACCAGGTAAGTCAAAATTAATTTATTTAACAATTTACTAATCTTTTTCTCTCTTTTATTTCAGAGTCGAACCCACATTGTGATGGCTTCATGAAATTCATAAACAACAAACTCATATAAAAATCCATTTAAGTTGTATATTTTTTAACATATTGAAATCATTTCAATATATATATATATATATATATATATATATATATATATATATATATATATATATATATACAGTATAGGTAAAAGTTTATGATCGGTATGGACCGGATCGGTATGATTGGTATATGTCCTGTTTCGTATATTTTATTAAAGAGGCTTAGAATAGAATGTTTGCCCTTATCGTCGAGCAGTTTGATTATTTCGCTTGGAATTTCATCTGGACCGGTTGCTTTCCTAATCTTTGATAGCTTTATAGCTCTTTCCAGTTCATCTAGTGTTATGTTTGGACCAGTCGATATATTTTTGATTTGAATTTCTGTTCTATCGTCATCAAACAGCTCCTTAATATATTCTTTCCACCTCTCTAATCTGTCTTGTTCATTGACTATAATATTTCCTTGTTTATCAAGTAAACTACTTGCAGTTGTTCTATATGTTCCAGTTATTTCTTTTACCTTTTTGTACATATTAAACGTGTCATTCTTTTTCTGTAGTTCTTCTATTTCAAGACATTTGTTGCTGTACCATTTTTCCTTTGCATCCCGAATTTTCCTTCTGAATTCCTTATGAATTTTATTGTATTCTTCAGTGTTTTTATTTTTCTGTTTTCGTCTGCTTTCCATTAGTTCCAATATTTCATCAGTAATCCATTGTTGTTTGCGATTATTAATAGTTTTATACTTTTTAGTTGTTTCTTCATAATGCTTTTGACATGATTCCAGTGGTCTTCGACGTTATGTGTTTCTCTCGATTTTTCAAACTTCTTTTTTATCTCTTGTGTAATTTCAACGTCAACGGAAATTGAAACGTCAATAAACGTATTTTTATCTTTAATTGTGGCTTATTCCCAGTTTAATAGTAATTAATTTACAATGCCACAAGAAAATAGCTTCAGAAGAATACAGTCAGTGTTTATTCGGTTAGTCGGTTGTTGGCGTTTTACTATTTTAAGTTTGAGTTTTATGTCACTGATTAATAAGTTATGATCTGAGGGGACATCGGCTCCAGGTAGTGTTTTAGTTATTTTGATTGAATTTCGGTACCTCTCGTTAATTGTTATATAATCGATCTGATTTCTTATGATCTTTTCTTTAGTATCTGCTGGTGACTTCCAAGTATATAAACGACGTTTGGGTAGTTTGAAGAATGTATTTGTCACACAAAGATTGTTCTCTACGCAGAATTCTACAAAACGGTCTCTTCTGTCATTACGTTGTCCAAGTCCAAAATTCCCTACAATGTTTCCTTGTCTACCTTTTCCTATTTTGGCATTGAAGTCTCCCATTATTATAGTAATGTCTTTGTTTTTCAGCTGACTCATTACCTTCTTTATACAATCATAAAAATTCTCTATGTCATCTTCACTACTGCTGGCTGTGGGCGCTTAAACTTGGACCAGATTTATATCTACTGGTTTTCGGAATATATAATATACGGAAATAAATCCGAGCTTCCGCTTCATCTTACTTCAAAAAATATAAGTCAAAAACAGCTGTTGTCGTCGCTGTATGTGGTAGCCATGTTTTCTATTTTAACTATTTGATGTGAATTATACATATGTATAAGGGTTAGACCCAAGATCTGTGGCCTAGAGAGCCCGATCTTTGTTTTTAATATGTTGTTTGTCCACAGTTTTCCTTCTATGAAGTATTTATTGCCTAATTGACGTAAGTTTTTTTTCTGTCATCGTATTTTATAAAAAATTTACTTAACGTTATTTTAGGATAGCCCTGATGATGACATTTATTATGTCGAAACTATACTAAGCTTAATTAATAACTTATCCGTAAATTCCAAGATTTTTTTAATTGGTTTTCTAAAGTTTGGACTATTCTTCTGTCTTCTTTTCCTGTAGTATATATTGTGGTATCTGCATACAAGGCGGTTAGTTTTTACATCTGTTGGTAAATCTGAAACAAATATATTATATAAAATGGGCGACAGTTCCTATGCTGCCTTGAAACATCCCTTCGTGGACTTCTTGCACCCTATACATCTTTTGATCCGTTGAAACTTAAAAATTTCTATTACTTAGCTAAATATGAATCACAAATATTAACAAATGAACACAAGAGCTCTGTACATTTTGTAGATGGGGGCTTTCTTCCAGACCGTATTGTAAGCTTTCTCTATGTCGAGAATAGCCGTTCCTGTTTTCTGTTGAAGCGTATTTTCGCATCACGGACGGCTCTTACTAGTTGTAGTTCGTAGTTCCTTCCTGATCTGAATCCGAATTGGTCCTCCTGGATAACTCTTCTTCTTTCAGCATGCTTCGTAAGCTTTTGATAGATGATTTTTTCTAGTATTTTTTTAGGCATTCCAGGAGAGATATTGGTGTACAGCTTTCTGGTCTTCTTCCATCTTTTTTTGGTTTTAGTAAAGGGATAGTTTTAGCATGTTTTTCGGAAAATGAGCTTTCTCTAGGCAAAATATGAAGATTCAATATAGTTGCACTATCATTTTCTTCGGAAGCTCCCTTAGTGTAATGTTATGGATGTCTTCTACTCCTGGACCTAATAATATGCAATATATGCGTCTATATTCTTTGGTTTTACCAACTGATAACAAGCTAAAAGTGATAGAATTGAATAAGAATAAGCTTAAAAATATCCAGGAAACGATTATTGTGATGTAATTATTGATGTTAAAGATAGTATATTGTCGCATTTTATATCTGTGGTTATCTTATATATTTACTTATATATTTTACTGATTTCCAAAGACTTACCTAAAACAAAGGTACAACTTATGCATCTACAAGACAGAAACGCAGGTGCCTATAACATATTTATTATATTATTGGCTAGACTTTTGCTGACTGGCATTTTATTATGCTTTACTTTGTTTATACTTTGTGCCTGACTTTATTTTTCTCTCGTAGTAAATGTTTATAGTTGGTTTGTATTTTAGGTTTTACTTGTGAGGAGAACAAAGTGAAAATAATGCAAATATTGTGTGAACATTCATACCATAAAGGACACTATACGAGTCAACACACTGAAGGAAAAACTGTAAAAAAATATATAAAGTTTCAGACTAAACAGGGACATCATAATTGTGAAATTTGTTTCAAGAAGTTTTCTCAAACCTGTAAATGGAAAAGACACTTGATGGTACACACTGAACAAAAAGCTTACAAGTGTGAAATTTGTTTTAAGCAATTTACTGTAGCAGGTAATTTGAAAACACATTTGTTAGTACACAGTAAAGAAAAACCATACAAGTGTGAAATTTGTTTTAAGCAGTTTTATCAACTAAGTAATTTTAAAACACATTTGGCAGTGCACCCTGAACCGTACAAGTGTGAAATTTGTTTTAAGCAATTTATCCATGCAAGTACTTTGAAAACACATTTGGTTGTGCACACTAAAGAAAAACTATACAAGTGTAAAATTTGTTTTAAGCAGTTTACCCAAGCAAGTAATTTAAAAGCACATTTAGTAGTGCACACTGAAGAAAAACCGTACAAGTGTGAAATTTGTTTTAAGCAATTTAAACATTCAAGCTCTTTGAAAACACATTTGGTTGTGCACACTAAAGAAAAACCATACAAATGTGAAATTTGTTTTAAGCAGTTTACCCAAGCAGGTAATTTAAAAGCACATATGGTAGTGCACACTGGAGAAAGGCCATACAAGTGTGAAATTTGTTTTAAGCAATTTAACCATGCAAGTATTTTGAAAACACATTTGGTAGTGCACACTAAAGAAAAACCGTACAAGTGTGAAATTTGTTTTAAGCAGTTTACCCAAGCAAGTAATTTAAAAACACATATGGTAAGGCACACTAGAGAAAAACCATACAAGTGCGAAATTTGTTTTAAGCAATTTACCCAAGCAGGTAATTTGAAAGCACATTTGGTGTTGCACACTGAAGAAAAACCGCACAAGTGTGAAATTTGTTTTAAGAAGTTCAGCAAAACAAGTAATTTAAAAAGACATTTGAAAGTGCACACTGAAGAAAAACCGTAAAATTTGATTTAAGCTGTTTAGTCTAGCAAGTAATTTGAATACGCATTTGGTAGTGGACATTGAAGAAAACCGTACAAGTGTAAAATTTGTTTTAAGCAATTTAACCAAGCAAGTAATTTGAAAACACGTTTAAGAGTGCAAGCTGAAGAAAAACCGTAAATTTTGTTTTAAGCAGTTTAGCGTAGCAAGTAATTTGAAAACACCTTTGGTAGTGGACATTGAAGAAAATCGGACAAGTGTGAAATTTGTTTTAAGCAGTTTAACCAAGTAAGTAACTTGAAAACACGTTTAGTATTGCGCACTGAAGAAAAACCATACAATTGTAAAATTTATTTTAAGTATTTTACTGTAACAGGTGGTGTAACAGAGTTAAAATTTTTCTCTTGGAAGGAAGATTGTATACTGCAACAATGAACTACAGTGTTTAAATGAGTTTCATTCATCATTCTCTTTGGTTTTAATTTTATGTTTTATGAGTAAGTTCGGCCAATGATCTGTTACATAAGTAGTAGTAGCAGTAGTTTTTATTTCGAAAATTGAACATACATATATACACATATATGCAGAGCGAAATACACTGTAATGAGTTCTTGTCGAAGAGAGAAAAATTTGGCACTTTAATATTTTAATGTACAAATAACGAAGAGGTGTACAAAAATATCGAATAAATACAACTATCTTCTTCTTTATTCTTCAGCCTGTCTTCGTCCACTGCTGGACATGTGCCTCTTTCATTTGCTTCCATTGATTTCTACTCTTGGCAATTCTGGTATACCAGGCAACTCTTGGTACAACCAGAAGTTTCGGAGACCCAGATTGTAATGACATATTTTGCTTACCTCAGGGTAAGAACATGGGGTAGAAGATTGGGGACAGAAACTACTGGGGGTAGAGATAGGGCAAACAAAATAAACGCTACTTGTGCGAACGGCACTCAGGGGTTTCTTGGAGAGCTGGGTCGTGAATAAGTTGAATCAAATGGGTCGGATTAGGGTACCTACAAAATGAAATAAAGGGATACTTCAAAAATCGCCTGGAACAAAACGAAAAAATATGGCAGACAAGATTTACCTCTAGTTATTTTCTTTTCGGACGCCGCTTCGAATAAACTTCCTGCTGGAAGAAAGAAAAATTCCTCTTTCCTAAAATCAAGAATACACACAAGGGTTAGGAGACTTTTCTAAATTAAAATAAAAAATATGGATCAGAGAAATAAATCAAACGTTTATTTTTGTCTCAAACAAACAGTTATCAAAAATACAGATTTCACAAAAAGCATACTATACAACATAATACAGAATTAACAAAAACTTACATAAAAAAAATTATTAAAATCCTTTGTAAAAAGTATATATTTAAAACCCAATATATACTTTTTACAAAGGATTTAATAATTTTTTTAATATATAGTATACAGCCAACTACAGGAACGTAGATTCCTTGTGGAAAAACTTACACGTTTATCTGTTTACACAGGAGATTGCTACAAAAATTTTGGAATTGGTTCCTAAATTATTTATTAATGTGGCCAAAATAGATTATTAAAATTAAGGATATCCTTGTAAATGAAAATATCGTAAAATTTAACCTTCTCTATGAAATATCTTTTCTATATAATAATCAAATTAAAATTTTTTTACAACAACAACAGATTATAGCCAAACTGTCATATATCAACACAACATTTTAAGACAGAATAAATTATGACATTTTTTAGCTACGCCTCTAACATACTATATAATTTTAATTATTACAAATTCTTCAATTTTTAATGAAAGCAATTATTAAAAAAATGTCTATTTTATTTGGAAAAATTAATATATTAAATGTTTCCTTATTTTTACTTATTTCGCACTTAACAAAAACTTGCTACATCTCTGGGATTCAAGTTACCTGGACAAATTCTCTACAGGAACAAAGGAAAACCATTTCTATAATCAGGCTGGACGATCAAAGACGCAAATCAGGTTTGGTGGAGACATAAGCAGAACGACAAACGAAAACTGGTGGAGACACCTTATATACTTACAGCTTGAAATTAACTCTCAAATTCAATCTCTTTTTATCGGTTTTTAACGTACTAAAACACTTTTAGTACGTTAATTTGTTTGTTAAAAAACAAATCGATATTTTTGACTTAAGACCTTTTTGATTATTAGTACAGAATTGATGTATGAGTTATATTAAATTTTACAGAAAAAATACAATTCGTACAAAACAGATCGACTTAAAAAAATTATTACTTCGTTTCTCAGTGTAACTATAATTTGACTACGGTTTTGAACGACTTCCTCATTACTTCTCTTCGTGTACTAAGTAGTTTAACTGTCACTGTCACTCCGAAATTGTTGTCCTCCGAACATCAAAGGTACGGGCAAAGCTTTCGCTTCTTGTTGGGATGGTGTATTCTGTGGTGTTATTAACTCAAATATTTTTTTTAGTTGACAAATGGTCAAATTGTATTGCGGCTGGATTTATATCATGGTGAGTTGAATCCCATTGTGAAAATTTGGACCCAGCTGAAAAATGAAGTGTTATTTGAAATCACAACATTTAAACTGCAACAAATAAAAACAACTTCTGTTACAAGCTTTCAAGAATGCAAGTACAACACATTGGCAAAATTGTGTTAATTAGGTACACCCTAATGTAGAAGAAGAAATGTGTAAATTAGATGGCATCATGGATAGTGTAATAGAACAAGTTCTTCAGAAGATGAATACATTGTAATTTTAATATGATTATAATTTATTTGAATTTATATTTTATAAAAATTAAAAATATAATTAAATGTATATGTCTTGATTAACGGATTAAATTCTGCATATATTTGTACATACAGTGCGTTAAGTTTTGGATTAGGTATACACTCTATAAATGGCAACACTGCGCGTCGTCGACTTGCACTACATATCTGCTTCGTTGACTCGTCGTTGCTCGTCGCCCGTCGGCAAATTTGTCATATTGTCATTATACCGTGGTTGTTTAAAGGTATAACAGCGTAGAGTTTTAATTTATTTTTGTAAACATGTCTGTTTATATGGCCGCGGAAAAAGCTCAAATAATAAAATGGTTTTATAGTGGCAATTCTGCGCAACAGTGTGTAGATTTATTTTCTGTGTTTTTGGAGGGAAGACCAATTCCTTGTGTACAGTCAATTTATAATATTGTTAAAAATTTTGAGAGTTGTTATTGCCTCAAAAATTGCAGAAAATGTCACGCTCAAGAAGTGTTACCAGAAAAAGTTGAGGAAAGAGAATACCGGGATACACAAATTTGTGCAACAATCGAGGTAGATTCAACACGTTTAAGTAGAAGCGTTGCTAGAGAGTTAGATGTTAGCAATGTTACTGTAACGAAAGTATGGAAAAAGCACGGTTACAAGAATTTTAAATATTCGAAAACGCAGCAGCTTTATCCAGACGATTACTTTCGAAGAATGGAGTTTTGTGAAACTCTAATAACGAAGGCTAATAGTGAACCAAATTTTATTAAAAACATTTTATTCACTCATGAATCTTCTGTTTCGTTAGTAGGGAGACACAATCCTTCCATTACGAGGTATTGGGCGCGGGAAAACCAGCACAGAAGTGTTGTTTACCGAACTCAACTTCCTCAAAAAGTTAACGTCTGGACTGGCATTTTAGGAGACCACATAATAGGTCCATTTTTTATTGAGGGCAACTTGAATAGTAGAGTATACCTCGATTTGTTACAGAATCATGTTCTTCCCGCTATTCTTAATCTTCCTGATGTAAATCTGGAGAATGTTTGGTTTCATCAAGACGGCTGTTCAGTTCACAACGCTCGAATTATTAGGGAGTATTTAAACAATACTTTCCCGAATCGAGTTATCAGTGGAACAGGCGATATTAAGTGGCCTGCGCGATCTCCAGATCTTACACCCATGGACTTCTTTTTTTGGGGACATTTAAAAAGCATTATCTACGCTCATCCTGAGGCTAGAGCCCAAAATTTGGATGAATTAAAAAATCGAATAAGAGAAGTCTCCAATTCTGTTACAGCAGAAACTCTTTCATCTGTTCGCAGAAGTTTTTATGACAGATTGGGGTACTGTTCAGCCGTAGAAGGTCAACTATTTGAACCATTTCTGTAGGTCATAAAGAATTATTTTTTATTTTATTAGGAATAATATTTTAATTTTCAATAAGAGTATATTTTTTATTTTATCTTTTTAAAGAAATACGCTTTTATTTTTAATTCAACCACAAAAAAATTTTCACATTAATAAAAATCGATAACAATGCACCGATTAGGTCAGTGCATTTTTATCGAATTTCCTACTATTAAAATCGGCTATACGTAATGAAACATGAGATCGGACGACAGAGAAGTACATCCCAAACGTTGTTGTGAGTTACTAAACTAAAGTAAATGATCTGTCGGTGTAGATACTGAGATAGTCTCGGGTCGGAGAAAGAACATTTGCAACGTTGCCGATTTTAGCGCTCCGTATAGTGTGCAATACCTAATTAAAAACTTAAAGCACTGTATATCAAACAGTTAAAACAAAGATATGAAATTTTCACAAAGACAATAAAGTGAGACAAAATGGAAGATAACTAACTAAGATTGCAGTAACTAACTTTGTAAAAGTATTTTGCATTAATCTTTTTTTAATCAGCCTTTCTTGCAAAGATACACTTATGGCAATATAAAAAAATTTAATTGTTTATCTGTAAAGTTCTCCGATAGTGATTACGGTCGAAGGCCGAGATGGTCAACCAAAAAAAAGAACATGAATCTGGTGAATTTTCTATACTAAATTCACTTGACAGAAAAGTAGCGGTCAACAAATACATGCACAGAATACGTGAAACCTGATGTCTATATAATCGTACAGGGTTGTATTAAGATTCTAGCAGTCTATAACATCTGAATTTAAAATGAATTAATTTATCATTTTTAGGATTACTGATAAAATAATAGTAATCAATGATTAATCTTCCAAAGAAGTATACTTAAATATTAGTTTTTGAAAACTGTCATTCACACATCATTAGTTAATTGTGGTGTTAATCAAAAGGCAAAAAATAGAAAGTTGTTTTTATACATTTTACGCTTTTATTTATTAACATAACTTCAAATATTTGCTGTCTTTTTCACCAAACAAACTTACATTAAATTATGAAAAAACTAAATGCTCATCTACTTTTTGCTATATACAAAAGTTGTCTGTCAATGTTTAATTCGTTAAATATAAATAACAAAGATCAAATATATGGATCGAAGTACACAACATATTTAGGGAATAAATATTTAAATGGGAATTACAAATAAAAAATATTAAAACTTTATTTATTGTATATCTCAATATTTAGTGACAAAATAAATTGTATCGAAATATTAGTTTAAACTGAAAGTCTGGATTTACTATGTATATCCGAATCATGTGTAATGACAATAATATAAATTCGCTTTATCTTCCTAATGCTCTCTTGTAATGATTCGTAATACTTTTTTGATTATTTTTTAGGTTATTACATTTTTATATTTATAGAAATATACTCGTACAATAGTTACTTCTTGATTTTTTATTCGTTTTAGTCGAATATCGTTTACTCCAATATTCGACTTTAAAGGAAAAATGTAATTTTAATAGGTTTCCAAGACATTAACAATCGATATCAATATAAAGTTTCTTGTTTCTCAGTCTCACCCAAAGAGAATTGGAATTTTTAGAGTTTGTGAAATTTCCGTGGCAGTTACAATGGCTTTGTTATTTTTCGATTATATTACGAAAGATAATTTATTAGGAAATTCCACGACGAACAAATTATATCTTGTATCAACACAAGCCAAAAAGAATCGGTGTATTATTGTATTATCAATGCCAACATCAGAATAAACAAAAAAGTATTTTCATCTATGGTTCCATCAATACGATTTTCACCATTACTTTGCGTTGTGCGATGTATTTGCAACCTTTTGTAAATCAAAAATAATTACACCATTTAGAATGTCAACAAAAGCCGGCCCTGCATGTAATTATTTTTTCAGTGCAATATTTCATATTTATTGAAAGTCAACATAAATGCTCAATTTTATTTAAGAATTTATATTGTGTGATATGCCCACTGACTATTAGTAAATAGGTTGCTTTCCTGTCATTTTCACTCGTTGGCGGCTTGCCCACGCAAGATGAAAGGAGTGTCGCTTCTCTGCGTTCGTAGTTCTCTGGTACAACCACTTTTTTGCTCTTAGCTTTGGATATACATGTTTTTCCTTACATTCATCAATGTACAGTTGATACATCTTTTCTATTGTAAGTTCTGTGCCCAGATAATTTCTCTTGCTCTTTTTTCTTGAATAATGACTCTTATACTTTGGGAAGGAATTAATATGTTGATGTATACTATTTATGGTTTCGGTAGGAGTTTTATTGATTTACCACTTTGATCAGCTTTTATTAAACCTCCTGGCTCAATTTTTTTAACATATTCACTACTACCAAATTAAATATACATAGTGTGTGTAAAAACATAACCCTGCACACATTCAATCGCTGATTGTTCACTGTAAAATGGTAGTGTAGTGTGTAGTGTATTACTTTTAGATTTGGTAGTCTTTAGATCAGTGGCGCACCCAGGGGGGTTTTGGGGGTTAAAACCCCCAGGACCCTATTCCGACACTGTTATTTATACATTTTAAGGACTTGGAAATTGTGGAGGTAGCATAAAAAAATTTCAGTGCCCAATCAAACCCCCCTCCCAGAGGAAAATTCTAGGTGCGCTACTGGTTTAGATCTCTTTTTCTTGATCCAAGAGTAGGTTGGATGTCGACACATGAGAAGATAAATTGCTTTTTTAATATTGCGAACTAAATACAATAGTTACAATTAACTTAGTTCATGACAATTTAACCAGGTACATAAGACTATGGATATTAAATAACAGTGCACATATTTAGTAGAGATAAATAGACATAATGTGGTTTACCTCCGTCTAGAGCCAGAAAAGTTATATTTAAAAGTGCAATAGTCCCAATTTTGATAAAAATGGACATAGTGCTCTTAGCTCCGGGGTGCAGCTATATAAAATATATTTTACTGATTTTCAAATACTGGCTTAAAACAATTGTGCGACTTACGCATCTACAAGACAGAAATGCAGGTGCCTTAAACATATTTATTATATTATTGGTTACACTTTTGCTGACTGGCATTTTATTATTCTTTACTTCGTTTATTACTTTGTGTCTGAATTTATTTTTCTCTTGTAAATGTTTATAGTTTGTTTGTATTTTAGGTTATACTCAGAAGAACAAAGGTAAAATAACCGAAACATTGTTTGAACATTCATCCCATAAAGAACACTATATGAGTCAATACACTGACGAAAAAGCTGTAAAAAAACAGATAAAAGTTCAGACTAGACAGGAATGTTACAATTGCGAATTTTGTTTCAAGAAGTTTTCTCAAACATGTAAATTAAAAAGACATTTAATTGTACACACTGGAGAAAAATCTTACAAGTGTGAAATTTGTTTTAAGCTGTTTAGTCAAGCAGCTCATTTAAAAACACACTTGGTTGTACACACTGAAGAAAAACCATACAAGTGTGAAATTTGTTTTAAACAGTTTAGCGTAGCAGGTAATTTGAAAGCACATTTGGTAGTGCACACTGAAGAAAAACCATACAAGTGTGAAATTTGTTTTAAGGAGTTTAGCTTATCAGGTAATTTGAAAAGACATTTGAGAGTGCACACTGGAGAAAAACCTTACAAGTGTGAAATTTGTTTTAAGCAATTTAAACATTCAAGTACTTTGAAAACACATTTGGTAGTGCACACTAAAGAAAAACCGTACAAGTGTGAAATTTGTTTTAAGCAGTTTACCCAATCAAGTAATTTAAAAATACATATGGTAAAGCACACTAGAGAAAAACCATACAAGTGCGAAATTTGTTTTAAGCAATTTACCCAAGCAGGTAATTTGAAAGCACATTTGGTGTTGCACACTGAAGAAAAACCGCACAAGTGTGAAATTTGTTGTAAGAAGTTCGGCAAAACAAGTAATTTAAAAAGACATTTGAGAGTGCACACTGAAGAAAAACCGTAAAATTTGATTTAAGCTGTTTAGTCTAGCAAGTAATTTGAATACGCGTTTGGTAGTGGACATTAAAGAAAACCGTACAAGTGTAAAATTTGTTTTAAGCAATTTAACCAAGCAAGTAATTTGAAAACACGTTTAATAGTGCAAGCTGAAGAAAAACCGTAAAATTTGTTTTAAGCAGTTTAGCGTAGCAAGTAATTTGAAAACACCTTTGGTAGTGGATATTGAAGAAAACCGGACAAGTGTGAAATTTGTTTTAAGCAGTTTAACCAAGTAAGTAACTTGAAAACACGTTTAGTAGTGCGCACTGAAGAAAAACCATACAATTGTAAAATTTATTTTAAGTATTTTACTGTAACAGGTGGTGTAATAGAGGACAACACTCTTTTTTTGTTGATTTAAGTTCTTTGTTATATGTTGGTACGTTTGTAGTTTATATAACCGAGTTAAAATTTTTCTCTTGGAAGGAAGATTGTATACTGCAACAATGAACCACAGTGTTTAAATGAGTTTCATTCATCATTCTCTTTGGTTTTAATTTTATGTTTTATGAGTAAGTTCGGCCAATGATCTGTTACATAAGTAGTAGTAGCAGTAGTTTTTATTTCGAAAATTGAACATACATATATACACATATATGCAGAGCGAAATACACTGTAATGAGTTCTTGTCGAAGAGAGAAAAATTTGGCACTTTAATATTTTAATGTACAAGTAACGAAGAGGTGTACAAAAATATCGAATAAAAACAACTGTCTTCTTCTTTATTCTTCAGCCTTTATTCGTCCATTACTGGACATGTGCCTCTTTCATTTGCTTCCATTGATTTCTACTCTTGGCAATTCTGGTATACCAGGCAACTCTTGATACAACCATAAGTTTCAGAGACCCAGATGCACAGAAAGAGAAATCGAAGGGGTATACGTGTATATTAATTACAATAAATTCCAATTATTATTCTGTTTTATTACAACTTTTTACCCTTTACTACCATAAATTTGATATATCCTGGCGAATTGAATTTAGTACAGTACAACCAGAAGTTTCAGAAACCCCAGATGCACAGAAAGAAATCGAAGGGGTATACAGTCATTCTAGCCTCAGCTGCAGTTTCTAAGCGCAGCGAAAATATCGTGGTGTTGGAAGTTAATAGATATTCACATTCAAAGAAATTCATCAAAAGGAAACAAAAAAAGTCAGCAACTTAAGACAAAGTTAATAGAAATTTCAAAAGTATAATTCTGTATTGATAAGTAAAAAAGAGTCAAAAATATAGATTTTAAGTGATACAGTTTTTTGTTAACCTTAAAAAACGATAAAAAGTAATTGAAATCGACTTCTTTTCATCTCTATTTAGAAATTAACTCTCAAATTCAATCTCTTTTTATCGGTTATTTAACGTACTAAAACACTTTTAGTACGTTAATTTGTTTGTTAAAAAACAAATATATTTTTGACTTAACACCTTTTTAATTATTAGTACAGAATTGATATATAAGTTATATTAAATTTTACAGAAAAAATACAATTCGTACAAAACAGATCTACAAAAAAATTATTACTTCGTTTCTCAGTGTAATTATAATTTGACTACGGTTTTGAACGACTTCCTAATTACTTCACTTCGTGTACTCAGTAGTTTAACTGTCACTGTCACTCCGAAATTTCTGTCCTCCGAACATCAAAGGTACGGACAAAGCTTTCGCTTCTTGTTGGGATGGTGTATTCTGTGGTATTATTAACTCAAATATATATTTTTTTAGTTGACAAATGGTCAAATTGTATTGCGGCTGTATTTACATCATGGTGAGTTGAATCCCATTGAGAAAATTTGGACCCAGCTGAAAAATGAAGTGTCATTTGAAATCACATTTAAACTGCAACAAATAAAAACAACTTTTGTTACAAGCTTTCAAGAATGCAACTACAACACATTGGCAAAATTGTGTTAATTAGGTACACCCTAATGTAGAAGAAGAAATGTGTAAATTAGGTGGCATCATGGATAGTGTAATAGAACAAGTTCCTCAGAAGATGAATACATTGTAATTTTAATATGGTTATAATTTATTTGAATTTATATTTTATAAAAATTAAAAATATAATTAAATGTATATGTCTTGATTAACGGATTAAATTCTGCATAATATTTGTACATATATCAAACAGTTAAAACAAAGATATGAAATTTTCACAAAGACAATAAAGTGAGACAAAATGGAAGATAACTAACTAACTAAGATTGCAGTAACTAACTTTGTAAAAATATTTTGCATTAAACTTTTTTTAAGCAGCCTTTCTTGCAAAATACACTTATGTCTATATAAAAAAATTTAATTGTTTATCTGTAAAGTTCTTCTATAGTGATTACGGTCGAAGGCCGAGATGGTCAACCAAAAAAAGAACATGAATCTGGTGAATTTTCTATAATAAATTCACTTGACAGAAAAGTAGCGGTCAACAAAAGGA